TGAGACCCGACTTAAGGAAATGTTAAACAAGAATCATTCATATGATTTGAATTTCTCAAATACTTTGTATATCCTAGAAAAACAAATGAATTCTTTCTTAGCCCAGCCCCATTACAAGCCTCAAAAGACCTTTTGATTTAAGTCTTGCTTAGCAAATGTTGTTTCTTGAAGATGATTATCAATATTGGATTGTCTAAATGAAGTGATTGAATGAGATAAACACTTACCCGTGAGAGTTAGAGATGATTATATATCATTTTATGTGAGAGATCATGCTTCTCTAAGGATAATTGATGATTAATATTCCTTTGTTAGTTTCTGTAACTTTAATGCTTATGTATCCTATTTTCATTTGGAGTTGTGAGCATCGCATCTAGAAGAAAAAATATTTTTATGTTGTGGTTCTGGAAGAGAAAGTGATAATAGGTGATGATTTTGTTTTGGAAAAATTACTTTGCTTGGGACAAACAAGATTCTAGGTTGGAGGGAGTTGTTAAATGATAAAAAGTTGATATAATTATGCTTTTAATTGTTTTGAAATCACTTAACTTATGTCAATTCTAATATATTTTTCTCCCAATGTAGGATGAATTTGAGAATACCTTGATACAAGAGCAAGGAGCATAATTGTCAACATAAACGAAGCAAAAACTGAAAGGAGGAAGAAGATTTTCAACATGGAAGTCGTTCGAGCGAGATAGACTCTCACTTGAGCGAAAACTAGTTAAAACTCTCTAGAAGTCCTTCGCTCAAGCGCCATTATTTTCGCTTGAGCGAAAATTAGTTAAAATTTTCTAGAACTCACTCGCTCAAGCAAGCACTTTTTCGCTTGAACGAAAATATTGAACTTTCGCTTGAGCGAACGTTTTCGCTTGCGCGAAAGACGCGATACCCAAATTATCCTATAAAAAGATAAGATGTGTTTTTTAGAAAAAAAAAATTTGGGAGAAGAGACGCGACTACTATTAGGGTTTTGTCCAATCTTCATCAATTCTTCACTTCTTCCTCAATTGGAGCATTGTAATGGCCACCATGAGTGGCTAACTTCATTCTCTTGGGATTGGGTGCACTTCCTTTGAACTTTTTTGTATCTTGGTGATATTTTGAGATATTAATCTATGTTTTTCATGTTGTTATTCTTATCCTTTATGCTTTTGAATGTTTATTCTTGATGTTTGGGATATGATTGAAAAATATATCTTGAACCCTAGATAGAATATTTGTTACGTTAATTGCTAGGAATGAAATGAGTGTATCAATTGCTTAACACCCTAAACCTAATACTGGAAAATCTCTTAATTGTGTGCGAAATCAACATTTATTAGGTTTTCTTTTGAATTTCATGTGTGAGGAATCAACATGGATGATTTGAGTAGGTGACATCAACATTGTTAGGTGAATTGATGATCTTAATTGGATATATCCATTGCAAAAGAGGGAAAAGGAAGGAAACCAATCCTAGGTACCTTTAATTGATCTTTTCTAAACAATTTACAGTTACTTATCATTTAATTTCAATTCAACTCTTTATGCAAAACCCCTTTTGTTTTAATCCACTTAGTAAGCATGTAATTGAGAATTACCATTAAAACCATTCATCGTAGGATTGACTTTTATTTAATTGAAATACTATATCTGCGATTTATAATTTTGAGTACGCTTGCCAATAATTCAACAAACTTCAATGTGAGATGTTGCACGAGATCAGACTTCACTCATATCTTTACTAGAATTTTTCAATTTTTATGGGATTCTTTTTACCAAATTTTTGTAAAAATTTGCGGAAAACAAGTTTCTTGTGAATTTTCAGATAAATTTTTATTAGCACGTAATTTGCTCATGGATAATAAATTATCCAGGGATTTTAATATTGACAAAAATTTCTTACAAAATTTTTTGTGAAAGAATTTGTAAGTAATTTTTTGCAAATTTAAATTTGCATATAATTTCTTACAATTTAAAATTTACATGTAATTTCTTGTCATTTAAATCCGCATGTGATTTCTTACCAATTTAAATTTGCATGTAAATTTTTACTAATTTCAAATTCGCAAGTAATTTTAAATTTACAAATAATTTCTTGATAATTTTAGATTTACATGAAATTTCTTATTAATTTTAAATTCGTAGATAATTTCTTATGAGGTTATTTTTTGAACAAAATTTACAAATTTTTTTTATATAAATTAATATATATATATATATATATATATATATATATATAGAAATTGACAAAAAAAATTTATTATATATTTATTTTTATTACATAATTAAATGATTATAAAAATAATTGTTTGTTCATTGGACTAAAAAACTAAGCTAAAAACAAAGTTATTTAGTCTTACATCAACATAATCCCTACGAATTGTAAGACAAAATATAAAGAAAATAAAAAAATACTATTTTATAAATATAATTATCACAACTACATAATTGATAACATGATATTGTCTGAAATATAAGATTCATTTATATGGATAGCGGTGGAAATAAAGCATGGACAACCTCCAGGTTGAGTAACCAATGACCACCATGTGTCGATCAAGTCTGGCTAGAGGACTACATATTTTTTTGGCTGCAACCACACGTCATTCATTGCTTTGTCGTAAGAATGCTAAAAAAGAAAAATGTCAAATCAGTCTTAGAAGCCCGTTTTGCAGGCATGGATAATGGATAATTCATTGAGGTTGTACGTACCAAAATTTCCAATTTTAATGGAGGATGGATTAGTTCTCTTGGTAGAGAGCACAATATCCTCAACCATATACAAACTATAGTTAATCCGTCATTTACAAGAAATTATCATATTAAGAAAATAATTTTAAATTTTAGATATTTATTAATATATTTTTTTCCATATCTTACTCCTACACCGTTATAAATAATTAAAGAATTTCTTCAACAATAATGTATTCAGGAATAATAATAATAATAATAATAATAATAATAATAATAATAATAATAATAATAATAATAATAATAATAGTAGTAGTAGTAGTAGTAATAATAATAAATAAATAAATAAAATAAAAAAGATCATAAAAAAATAAATTACAACAAAATAATTATATGATTTAATTTATGTATTTTAACTTTTTTTAAATGATTTAAAATTTTTAAAATAATATTACTATTTAAAATTAATGTAATATTCCTACTATTCATTTTAAGACTACTTTATATTTCATTTATAGCAAACAATAAGAAGAGTTCAAAATTAATTAAGAATCTAAATCTATAATTACCTACAAATATATTTTTACTTGCACAAATTTTGGAAGAATATCTTAAACCTTGTTAAACTTGGAAGATCTTTCCTACACGATGATCTTTCTCAGGTAATTTGAATAATAAAGACCAATAATTGTAATGCAAATTTTTGTCATTATCATAATCATATCAAATCTTTAATCCTAAAATTCAAATGAAAAACTGTGAATGACTAAACTCAAACATTAAAGCGTCAAAATAATATGATAATTCAAAACTTTAAAACCTTGTAAAAAAATGCATCAAAGCAAATAATTGTTGTTGTCAAAATCACATCATATCTTTAATTCCCTGCAATTTTATTATCATCTTCAATAATTCAGTTAAGTGTTATAATAACTCAAGAATAAAATTTTAAATATTACCATCTTCAATATGATCACTGTCTTCATCATCATCATTTTCATTGCTATGTTGAGATGATGAAGATGGGTAGGAAGAAGATGCAACAAACCCTAAGTGTTGCATTAAGACTCGCTATTTGATTCTTAGTTTTAGTCAACTCTTTTTTCATTTTAACTTATATTTTTTGTCTTTGTAACTCTTGTCTCATCTCTTGTTTTTCTTGTTCTTTCCTATGTAAAGATTCATTTAAGGCTTGAATTTGACTCCTTAAAGCATCAACATTTTCAAAATTTGTCTATTTAGTTGAAGATATGATTAACATTTTGCCTAGAGATCCAAGACCAAATATTCTTCCCTTATTTTTTCCAAGCTGAATTTATCCATATATCCAAATCTGATGGCATTTGGCTCATGGATTGTTCACCATCAATTGCATCCTCCCCAAAACTAAGAGATAATAACTCATTTTTCTTTTATTCAAATTTCTCCTGCAAATGAAAAGGTACTTAGTGAAAATATATAAATAAAAAAAGTAAATGAAAAATGTTCAATCTTTTAAAATATTTTATCATTCTTTCAAAATAAAGAAATGAAATAGCAGTTTTATATAAACTTAATATATTGGTTTCTTTATTTTTACTTTTCAGTGCCAATTGAGTATGAACCAAAATATCATGGTCATCCTCATTGAAAACAAACATCGTCTCTTTCCTACATAATACATACTATACTATTCCAACTTTATGAATGGCTTCAGGATAGTGCGACTAAAGTGGATCCCAATTAGATTAACACCAATTGATTCTTTTTATCTTTGATCAACATTTCTAGGAGTTATTGACATTAAAGAGGAGGTGGAAGTTGAGATAGATGTGAAGGTGAAGGTCGAGGTGAACAAGGTGGAGGTTGAGATGAAGAAGGAGGTGGAGATGGAGGTTGATATAGATGTGAAAGTGAAGGTGGAGATGGAGGTTGAGATGAAGGTGGAGTTTGAGATAGATGTGGAAATGGAGGTCGAAATGGTGATCAAAATGAAGGTAGAGACCGAGTTATTTGCTTAGAATAAGCTTCAAGGTTGGTTGATGGTAGTATAAATGGTATATGAGTTTGTGCATTTTTTTTCCTCTCATCCTTTTAGTGGGTTGCATTGCTCTTTTAGAATCAGACATCTAATTTTTAAGTATCATAATAAAAATCAGAAAATATATTTTTTGACACATAAAGAAAATCATATCACATTTATAATCTTAAAAGGTAAATAATATTGTCAACAATACCACAATGTAATAATAAAATAACATTATCATGTACTCTTAATCTTCTTCTTAATCTTCTTCTTCTTAATCTTCTTCATCTTCTTCTTCTTCTTCTTAATCTTCTTCTTCTTAATCTTCTTCATCTTTTTCATCTTCATCATCTTCATCTTCTTCTTCTTCATCTTCTTCTTCTTCATCTTCTTCTTCTTCATCTTCTTCTTCTTCATCTTCTTCTTCATCTTCATCTTCTTCATCATCTTCTTCATCATCATCTTCTTCATCTTCATCTTCTTCATCATCTTCTTCATCTTCATCTTCTTCATCTTCATCTTCTTCATCATCTTCTTCATCTTCATCTTCTTCTTCTTCTTCTTCTTCTTCATCATCTTCTTCTTCTTCATCATCTTCTTCTTCATCATCTTCATCTTCTTCATCTTCATCTTCATCATCTTCTTCTTCACCTTCTTCTTCTTCATCTTCATCTTCTTCTTCTTCATCTTCTTCTTCTTCATCTTCATCTTCTTCATCTTCTTCTTCTTCATCTTCTTCTTCATCTTCATCTTCTTCATCATCTTCTTCATCTTCATCTTCTTCATCTTCATCTTCTTCATCATCTTCTTCATCTTCATCTTCTTCTTCTTCTTCTTCTTCTTCTTCTTCTTCTTCTTCTTCTTCTTCTTCTTCTTCTTCTTCTTCATCTTCTTCATCTTCTTCTTCTTCTTCTTCTTCTTCTTCTTCTTCTTCTTCATCTTCTTCTTCTTCATCTTCTTCTTCTTCTTCTTCTTCTTCTTCTTCTTCTTCTTCTTCTTCTTCTTCTTCTTCTTCTTCTTCTTCTTCTTCTTCTTCTTCTTCTTCTTCTTCTTCTTCTTCTTCTTCTTCTTCTTCTTCTTCTTCTTCTTCTTCTTCTTCTTCTTCTTCTTCTTCTTCTTCTTCTTCTTCTTCTTCTTCTTCTTCTTCTTCTTCTTCTTCTTCTTCTTCTTCTTCTTCTTCTTCTTCTTCTTCAAGTATGCCTATCATCAACAACTCCCCTTGGTTTTGTTTTGATAACTAACAACAAATCAACCTTATCCTTCAGTCGCCGTTGGTTTTGTTTTGATAACTAACGCCCAGGAAAAGATGAGTAGTATACTTGAGTTGTACCTTTTAAAAAAAATAAAAGGATCAAATTTTTTGTATTTTCTTCTTTTTCTTACCTCTACAATCTTATATTGCTTATGTGTTCTTGTCCCATGATTTGAAGGATCAAACCAATCACAATAAAATGAAACTAACTTTTTTTGTGATTGACTTGGCCATTCCAATTCTAATATCTCTACAAGAACACCATAATAATCACTTAATGTTTCACCATGTCCAATTCCACTAACACATAAGTTAGAATCGCGCAGCGGAATGTTTGCGTGAACGGACAAAAACCAAGAGGGGGGGTGAATTGGTTTCTTAACAAAAATTAGGTTTTAAAAATTTTCCCCAAATTTTACCGATTAAAATGTTGTGTAAACGTAAATAGAATAAGGATAGAGTCTTACACAGAAGATTTATACTGGTTCGGATCAAAAGACCCTACGTCCAGTTGTTAATCACTCAAACAGAGGATTAACATTATCACTATAAGCAAAGTTATACAAGCAGATTACAAATGAAAAGATAAGGTAACGAAAACACCTCTCTTGAATCACACAAGAGATGAAGAACAACTTTCCCTAGAGACGACACAACACACAATCCACCAAGAACTCCACTTAGTGATTCTTATCGCTTCTAGCCCACACTAGGTTCCAAAAGCCCATTTTTCCTCCAACAAACAGTTCTCTGGCAGTCACAACTCTCAACTTTTGTTTGAAAAAGGTTGTTCAATTTTCTGAGAGCCTTAGAGAACCTTAAGTAGATGAATTAGGGTTTGGGAATTGGGGATTTTTGAAACTTGGTGTATTGGGACTAGGGGTTTCGAAAATAGGTTTAATTTGAAGTTCAAAATGCAAATCTAACTTAAATAATCGATTATCTCAAGTGTTAATCGATTATTACAGAGCCAAAATCAATAGGAACCCACAACACACTATTTTAATCGATTATTTGCCCTGTTAATCGATTAACAGGCCTGTTAATCAATTAACAGGAGTGTTAATCGATTATTACAGAGAGCTGATACAGAAAATGGTTTTTCTCTCTGTAATAATGGATTATTTGGCCTTTTAATCGATTAAACCCGTGAGTTTTTGATAAAAATGAGTTTTTGAAGCTTCTAAAGAGTAGACTATGTACTGGCTATCTTAGACTCTAATATTACAGACTCAAACTCATCAAAACAAAGTTATTACACAAGAATATAAATCTTCAACTCTCTAAGTTCTTTGTTCTTGAATCATCATCAAAATCAACAAGCTTCATGTCCATGTAAGTTCAACATCAAGTCCTTGTATGTTTCAACAACATACTCCACTATTATATGTTATTTTGCCTTTACCCCATGTTGTTGTGTGAAATTTGTACTCATTCACAAAATAAATTGGCCACAACTTTGCTATCCTCAAATGTCCCCTTGCTAAGTGTCGCTGCTGTCAAAAGTGGCGGTCGGAGCAACGCGATGGTTTAGAATGAATCACATTTTCTAAAAGATGTTCAACGCCTTTAGGTTGTCCGATAACTGGGTTGATCCTAGAGGCGAGGTTTTTGTAAACGGTTCTATGGAGTTGCCACCGATGTTTTTACCATAAACATTGAAAAAGAAAAAAAAGAAGAAGGTATTGGTGTTTAGAAAAAAACCAACTTTGGCCATTACAACTAGAGTCGGGTAAGGGAGTTAGTTACGTGTGGGGAAGGTGTTAGTACCCACAATGCCCCTTTCGAGTTCCCTATGATGGACTATTTCGTAATAAAAACTAGAAGAAACTATGCTTTTACCTTATGTATTTATCTACTGGAAGAATTTAAATATCTATATGGTCCTAGTATCTAATGCTTACAAGGAAAGCAGTAAAAGAAAGTAGCAAAAGAGAGAGAATAGAGAAGGAACCTCCGAAGTGGGCTTTCTATTAACACTTCAAGACTTGACGACGCTTTTTGGCTGTCCCGCACTCTACAAGCACGCTCCTCTCCCACAAAAGAGAAAATTTCACTCTACCGAGGGCCGAATGTCTCAAAGAGAGACCTCCTTAATCGATTTCTACCTTAATGGAAATCGGAAAACTCACTCGAACCCCAGAATAATGCTCAGTGTCACTCTAAAGTGCCAAAAGGCTTCTTAGAAAGTGGTAGAAGTGAATAGTGAGTGAAAAACAAGAAATGGGGCTCCTATTTATAGAGAATCGCACAAAAGTGGACAATCATCTGGACTTAGTGGACGACCGTCCATGGCCAAAAGTAAGCATGGCCGGTCGTCTATGTAAAGTGAACTGTAGACCCCAAATCTTGCCCGACCTACAAGAAAGACCAGAAAATCATCCATTCGAAGATGGACAAGGCTTTTTAGGCCCCTAGGCATGTTCACTAGGCTCCATGTAAAGATAGGAGGGCTTTCTGTATAGAAAAAATACGAAAATCTGACACGAGACCCGAGACTACCGTCCCGTTTGGCCAGACGGCCGTCTTGCCTTCCCTGAAGGTCGAGAACACCGTCTCGTTTGGCCAGACGGCCGTCTCGCCTTCCTAAAGGTTGAGATGACCGTCTCATTTTCCCATACGGCCGTCTCATTTTCCCATACGGCCATCTCGCCTTCTCTTAAGAACGAGACGACCGTCTTGTTTTTCAAACGGCCGTCTCGCCTGTCAGATGCCCAGACGGCCGTCCCGGCCTGCCTGGCGCGAATTCCTATAAATAGGAGCCTCCCCCTCCCTCATTTCACACACCATTCACTCCTACCACTCTTTAGGAAGCCTTTTTGGCACTTTAGAGTGACTCTAAGCATTTTTTTTCAGGGTTCGAGTGAGCTTTCCGATTTCTGTTAAGGTAGAAATCGATTAAGGATGTCTTCTTTTGAGACATCCGACCCTCGATAGGGTGATACTTTTATTTTTGATCAAGGGAGGAGTGTCTCTGTAGAGTGCAGGGACTACCAAAAAGCGTCCTCAAGTTCAACATTTATGAAAGCTCGCTTCGGAGGTTCTTCTTCATATCTCTTCTCTTTTACTGTTTTCTTTTACTGCTTTCCTTGTATGCATTAGATACTAGGGCCATGTAAATATTTAAATTTCCACAAAGTAGATAAATAAATAGGATAGAAGCATAATTTCTCTTAGTCTGTATTTTATGAATTAGTCCATCATAGGGAACCCGAAAGGAGCGCTATGGGGGTGTTAATACCTTCCCCACGCGTAACTAACTCCCTTACCCAACTCTGGGTATAATGGCCAAAGTTGGTTTTTCTTTAAACCAACGCCTTCTTTTTCCTTTTCCAATGTTTTTGGTAAAAATATTGGTGGCGACTCCAGAACCCTTTATGAAAACCTCATTCTTAGGGTAGTTCAGTTATTGGACATCCTAAGAGTGATGCCGACATTTTCAAAACAAATGCGAGTCATCAAAACCATCGCGTCGCTCCGACCGCATCTTTTGATGGCGGCGACAGATGGCGGCTCTGCTAGGGAAGCTCGAGAGTTGATCCCATTTATTGATGGACTAGTTTAATAAATGAAAACTTGAAATTAAGCTTTTACCCTTCCTTGCTTTATAACATGCTTTACTGTTTGACTTCAATAACTGTTGTATGTTTATTTTATGCAATTTTTTGAAATAAACAACTGTACAGAAACTCTTGCACACAACAGTCCCTCTATACCCGGGGGCAAGAGAGAGTACACATAGGGAGTGGGTGGCAGGTACGACCGACTGTGGTAATGGCCTTAGTGCCAACAGGTCATTGTCGAAAACCACTACTCAAGGGAGATCCGTGCATGATTCGAAGACTGGGAGATAGAGGGGACCCTATAATGGGGGCACCTTGGGGGCCTGAGCTTGGTGAGAACAGTTACAATCTACCTTTGCCAATGCACTTTTCTGCAGAAAAACCCTACCTCATGATAAAAACGTCATCATACTGTTTACGGATGAGTGAATTGTTTGTACATCTATTTGTTGCATAGCATAATCATACAACAACAAAAAATAAAAACGAAATCTCAAAAACCTTTTCATAATAAACACCTTTATCTCGTATAGTCTTCATTTAAGCTAGTCTGATTTTAGGTTCTTTGTACGCTAAGTAACCACGTTGACCTACAGAAGAGATAAAGAGGTAATAAAACAAATATAAAGCAAAATGCAATAAGACTCATTTTAATAAAGTTAAAGTATTCATTTAAGAACAATAAGACGATTTATGACAAAGTCAAATCATTCATATTCACATAATCTCATAAGTGGTAAAACCAGGAGAGAAAATAAATGCATAAGGAAAGTATGCATACACATCATCTTAATAAATCTCTCAAAAATGGGTCTAGGAGCATTTTTTGGAAAAATTGTTGGGACTAATCCCCTTTGGGTATTTGCCACCTATTTTTTACTTTTTTTCTCTTCGTTTTGATATGTTGTGCATCCAAATTCGACATCCAGTCAAAAGTTATCTTACTTTGAATATTTTCCGCCTTTTTTTTTATCATAAAAGGTCCTTTTTTGTACTAGCACATGCATAAATACATTCATTCTAGGGGGCATTAGATATCCCTAAGACAAAGGCGAAAGAGGCCCAAGTGCACTTGTAATCTTCCATAAGGAAGAGACAAGTGTGTTAAGGTATATGGTGACCTTTGCCAAATCTATGATTGGGGAGGAACCATTATACCAAAGTGGGTATGGTGCTCCGTGAAGCGTGAGCTTTAAGAGGATACCAAAGCCATTGTCTCATGGCATATCTATTCTACACTAATCATTCATTTCATTTCAAAATAAAAACAAACGATCTTAAATTCTTTTTGAATTCTAGAAAGCGGCTGACATTCTTCATGCCCTCATCCACATACAAAAATCCCAAACACTATCATACATCATGTTAGAAAATAAAACATGATAAAGTTTA